ATTTTAAAATAGCCTGCAAACATTTTGGTGCCATAGTACATAGGTACCTAACTAAAAAAACTGAAATATAAGTATCTGTTTAATTACAATATTCATTATTTATTTCGTAATAGATATTTATATTAGCAGATTCTATAAAATTTTCGGAATGTGGCAGGTAGTGTTAGGTACTACCATCAGCAAAAGGTACTACTATCTGCTCTATGTACTACCATCAGCGATATGTACTACCACCCTGAGGCCTCAAAGGACTATTAAACTCGATTGGCAACATTGGTGAAAATCCAATTAAAGAATAATATTCGATTTTTAATATTTTTTTAAATTTTCCTTTTATGATATAATAATTTCCAAGTAAAATATGAGCAAGAGGTCTAAGACCCTTTTAGACATTTTTCAGGATTATTACAATTATTCATATTCACCAAGAACTTTATCCAACCTCGATTGGCAACATTTTTACTAAATATCCATCAGAAAAAGGTAGGTACTACCATCAGCTTTAGGCACTAACATCAGCAAGAGGTGCTACCATCAGCAGAAGGTACTACCACCAGCGCTAGGTACTACCATCAGCACAAGGTACAACCATCAGATCTCGGTACCTACTGCCATCAGCAACAGGTACAACAATCAGTTTGAAGTTCTGCCTTCAGCTCTAGATACATCCATCAGCACTTGGTTCTACCATCAGCAACACGTATCACCATCAAACACGAGCTAGATGCACTCTAGGAATTTGAAGATATGGAGATATAGGACTTCAAATTAGAGGAAAGACAGGTATATACAGGCTGTACTCTAAGAATTGTAATCCTGTCTCTCTAAGTCAATGGACTTATGCATAAAAATAATACATTTTGAATTACAAATAATAATTGTTATTTTTTGTTTAAATAATATTCAGTTGTCAAACGATAATATTTGTAAAAAAAAAAATGTTTCGTATATTTTTTAAGATTTTTAAAATATTAAAACAGTAAAATCTAGTTAAAATTTATTTTTTGGGACTGAAAATTTTTGCAAATATTTTGAAAAAACTTGGTACTATAGTTTGATTTAGATTAAATAATTTGGTGTGCAAACATCATGGACCTGTATATATGGGTGCAGTCTTAATTTAATACCAATAAGAGAAAATTAGTTTTCATTTGATGGAGGTTGAGAAGAAAATTTCAAAATGTGGTATTGCAATTTGTTACAAAATATTGGCAGTGGTTAATTCAATACCTAGCTGAAAACAGGGGGATGCTGTGTAAAGTTGTCAATTCAATTTAAAAATATTGACTCCGAAACCCAATTTGCAATTAATTTGCAAAATATTGACACCAGTTTGGAGTCGATCGGACGAGTTGGTGGGGCTGATTAAATTTAGTAAAAAATTTTCCAAAATTACCATTTTGAATTGCAAATTCTAAAAATCAAATTTGAAATTCTTTGCAATTAATCTGCAAAATATTGAGTGAATTTAGCACCATTTTTTGCAACGTTCGTATCAATTTGCAAATTGCGAAACTCAATTTGCAATGGTTTACAATTAATTTTCAAAATATTGACACTGTTTGGAGTCAAACGGACGAGTTGGTGGGGCTAACTTCACTATCGTCCATCGTGTATTTCCCCAAGTTCTCTTTTCTCTTTTAATCTAGGTTATCGTACCCCTGACCTCTCTCTCTAAGAGCTGTTCATTAGTTTATAGGTCTATAAGTTATGTACTATGATGTTTGCAGGGGTGTGAGTATTTAGTGAAGGAAAAGGTACATAATATCATTGTTGTACGCACAACAATAGTCAATAATGGGGGACGAGGTGGCCGAGCAGTCTAAGGCGTCGGTTGCAGCGCTGCCGTCGCCGGTTCGATTCTCGGCAACTGAGTGGCATTTTTCTTCGGGTAAGTCACGGTGTCCGGAGAACAAGTGCCGCCATCCCCTACCCGGGGAATGGCAAAAACAACCTACGGGTGCCCCACTAGAAATTCTGCCACAATACACACACGTGTACCAAATCTATCCAATTCAAAACTCACGGTTCCACCCCCACCTAATGGCCTGTTACGCGGGTCATCTAATAAAAAAATAGTCAATAATACTAATTAATATCATTAGGTCGAAATTGAAAACACTCGGTGCTTTTTAAAATAATTGAAGAAAAAAATGAAAATTTATTAAAATTGTCTGGTAACCAACTTGTTATACCGTCCTCACTTGGGATTGTATTTGATTAATTTAAATTTTTTTTCTATAAATGTGAATAAAAAATTATTTTCCGGTCAAAAAGCTTAAAAATGTAATAAGTAAGTTTTTATTATAGCTAAAATATTAACGAAAGGTACATAAGATATAGGCATCATGGTTATTTTTTATAAGCATTTAAAGTTCAAATTTCGTCAAAACCACAGTAAATTTGTAGTTCAAAACTTATTAAATATGTTGGTATACTGTATGTCTGTATAGCTAAGGGTAGACAATTTAATACAAGGTCTTTCATACAAGTAGTTCATACTTTTATCTAAAAATTAGATAATTTTAGGAAAATTGGGATGCAAATTGCAAATACAATGTTTTTTCAAAAATGAATTCATTTTGGTAAGACAAATACGAAAATTGGTTACTAGAGTTGACAATTGAAACTTGATAGATATTTTTTTTTAAGTAATAATAATACGGCAATGGGGGAGATGCCTTCAGGCCGATAGCCACCACCCCCCTGCTGACGTTCCTGAAAGAAGATACCCTTTAATTAGCTAATAATATTTTCGTTAATTAAAATTTTAATAATAGTTCACAGAGTTTTAATTGGTATATGTATAAAATTGGTTTTATAAAATAACTGCTAGCTTATATTTGCAAATTATGTTGTTAGGTACCTATAGTTAATAAAAAGGGTTGAAACAATTACAGTAAAAAATATTAAAATTATAAAATAAGTGAGGTGGGGATTGTAATTTTCTAAAAATGTAAGTTGTAAGTAGGTACCTACTCGTTTTTTGGATGGTTTTTTTTATAGCCATTTTGGCCGGTCAAAACCTTAGTTACTCCAAACTGGTTTTGCTTAAAAATTCCATTTATTCCTTAATTTTTTCTTTTTTTAAACGCTTAGAAATACACACGCTTTGGAATATTACATGTAATTTTCAATTTTGACCTTTCAAATCAAATGTAACAACTAAGAGAACTAAATTCACTTGTACCACCAGAAATGATACTGAAATTAAAAATTGAAGCATTTTTAGTGCCCTTATTGCAAAAGGTGAATGATTTGAATATTTCCATAATATAAATGTAGCTTTAAATTAATCAACCATTTTGAAAAATTTAATGCTTAAATAATAATATAGCAGAGTGAAAGTTTCGAACCACTGTCCACTATGAATAAATTATTTTAAATATAATAATATAACCAAAGTAAAAATTGTTTAAATATTAAATTTCATCGAAATTTGAATTTGAAATGTCCATAAAAAAAAAAAGATTGTGCATCCTTAGGTTGTTGTTGAAACACACATATGAGGAACATCTTAAATTTTATTTTCGAGCTGTCGGATGGTAAATTAAAATTTCATGCATTTTTTTTATTAAAAACTAATTTGCAAACTTCAGTGTTTTTGTCAAAGTTTGAACTTCAAACACTTATAAAAAGTGTTCACGACTCTAGACTATGTACAAAAATATGTTTTTTATAGATTGATTGGTGGAATAACAAGGTACAATATTAAACATAAAATATCATAGTTAATCTTTTAATTTTCCAAGACATTTAATATATGACATAGGTAACAACAAATACATCTTTATAATTATTGTATATTACCAAATATTTTAAATCATAATTATACACTTATTTGTATATTGTACATGCAAAATATCCATTAAATTAAATGCCACAAACATTTCAAATTATAAAGGTAAATTTAAATAGGTTAAAAATGTATATTAACACCAATGATTATAATATTATATAAGATAGCAAAAAAGAATAACAATGTGTACAAAAATAATTAAAATTTGTTTATACAATTATACCTATAATTGCATAATACTACAAAGTTTAAATCACAAATATATGCTTAGGAATGCTTATTTATTGAATAAATGTAACTCATATAAATCTTATTTTATTTCACATAATCTATTGTTCTGAATAAAATTACTCAATAACGCAATATTTTTCATTACTAAATAAAACTCATGTACAAGAATACTTGAAAAATTTATTGTTATTGGTTAAATCAAAAATATTAATTATTAATTTATTAAATTGCACAGGCTTATATCACCCATAAAATCCATTTTCTGTAAAAATTAAATTTAACAAGTAAGAATTTCAATTTATTACTGTTTTGCTGCTTATACCTGAATTAAAATGTACTATGTTCAATTTTTTTAAAAAAAAAAAACAGTATTTTGTAAATTAATATCAAAATTCTTTAAATGTTACTTTAATTTGTTATACTCCAAATACAGTCATTCTTTTAATTTTTAATAACTGAAACTGTCAAAACGCTGTTAAACACAGTAAGCTGATCTTACAATGTCCGGTTGAAGTTAACAGACACTAAAACAGGCCGAATTCTGCCAGTAATAAAATCTGCTATCAGTCGGTTAACCTTAACCGAAACTTTACCAGACATTGTAAGAGCGGCCCTAAATGCCTATTATACAATTTTGGCTAATCATAACAAAATTATATAATAATTTATGATGTATATTAGATATAACTTATAAGTATGAAATACATTTGCTTAACACAAAGTATTTAATAAGATATTATTAAACAAGTGTTTTTAAATACTATTTTCCATATTATATATTATACATATATAAATATTTAGTGAGAATAAATGAATAAATATTATTAAAACTGAACACAGAATAACAGAATAACTATATTTAATCAGAAAAATTAAAGCTAAAAGGAATAATAATCTACATCTTTAATTTAAATAAACAATCAACAGTTTTATTATTATGTTTATATATTTTAATTTACACATAAAATGTTTAATCATCACCTGAAGCTCCAATAATGGCTAATATGTACATGAAAATGTTTATTATGTCTACATAGATGGTTAATGCTGCAAATATATATTCTTCTGGAGAGATTGAATACTTATGGTCACCACCGACCATCATTTGGGTGTCATAAATAAGATATAAGGAAAATATGATTGCACCCGCAGATGCAATTATGAGGGTCATCAATTTTCCAGGGAAAAATATAGCAACAATGGATGCAACAAGTAAAACTATTACAGCTACTGTTAAAAAACCACCCATTACTGTAAAATCTATTTTAGTCTGAAAAGCAAATATTGTAAGAGCAAAACATATCAATGTAGTTAAGCCAAGAGCCAACAGTACTTGTTCTGGATAGTAACGTGACACAGATACCGCTAATAAAAATGATTCAGCTAAGGTAAATACAAACAAAAGAATAAAGTTGGTAGGACTCTTGCGACGTAAATTTTCACAGCATGCGAGTGCAATTAAAGTACCAAATGTAATGATAATTGCGATGATACTCAGTCCAGGATGTGTCCTTACATAATTTTTAGTGGGCTCATGAAGAGTTGCCATAGCCACAAATAATAATGTGATTAGTAGCTGGCACATCAAAATACTGTAAACTTTACTGAAAGTATAAAAAATAAAAATATTAATTCTGTCATATTATACTACCATAATTTGTTATTAACAAATAAATTATATTTACCATATGAAGTTTTTACGAATAGTTTTATCGCTAAAACCAAAGTTTTCGGGTGCGTTAAAACTATCATTTTCTGGTGCTCCTGCTCCATAATAAGGCATATTTTGTTGTGCATATGGTGGAGGGTATCCACCACCAGCAGGATAACCACCAGCAGCAGGATATCCACCAGCAGCAGGATAGCCACCAGCAGCAGGATAGCCACCAGCAGCAGGATAGCCACCATCAGCTTTTGGGTATGGAGCACCTTGTGGAAAAAATCCAGGGGGTGGTGGAGCTAAAAAAATAAAGTATTTTACATTTTGTGTATAATGAAACCATTCACAATTTAATAAATAATTGTATTGATTACTAGAACAGTTTTAGAACACTGAGATATATTAATATGTAGAGGAAATGAAAGTTAGTGTCAATCTACTAATATTCAAACATTTTAAGGCATTGATGTGTAACCTATTTTGTACCACAGCACACATTTAACATTAGTAAATGCAGCCAACCACCGCTCCACACCAGGCCTTGACAATAGCTCATTCAATTTGCCATTTAAATACATTATAATGTTCTAAAAAACTATGTGTCAACAATTTTAGGTAAAGAAGGGCAGGCGCGTATACAGGGCCCCTCCGATCAGTATATTTCTACATTACAAATTTCTTTAGATTCTGAGTGGAGCGATGAATGTATTTATTTTACAATGATGTGTTTTTTTATGTTCTGTCACCACTGTTTAGGGCAGTAAATTAGCTTTGATTTTCTTTAACAGTATCTTGTTTGATGGGAAAGTGAATCTAGTTGGTGCTTTCGGGAGGTCAAAATTCCAATAGTTTTAAAAAGCGTCTATGAATGTCAATAAAACTTTAATTATTGGGTAAAAAAGCTTGACAATTAAATACAAGGCTCCTACTTATTGTTTCAATGACATTTGAAAATATTAAAAATCCTTTGTCACCGTTTTTTTTTTCATTTAAAGTTCAAATCATGCAAAATAAAAATTATGTTAATAAAAAAAAAAAATTGATGAAAAATATGTAGAGTGGTCGTCATAACTTTGAAAATGTATAACATGAAGTTTTATTTAAATTCCAAAATGATAATAACCATTTATATTGGTTTTACAGAGGTTTTTTTTTTTTTTTTTATATCCTGTATACAAAATTTCTACAAGAGGGATTTCTACATATAGTTCCTTATCTTTTACCCAATTGGATCAAGATGGTACTTTAGAGAGGTCATTTTTTGATTTTATCAATAGTTATTTAATGCCACGGGAAAAGCCACGGAAAAATTACGAAAAACCGCTAATAATAGGATTTTAATTTCTAACCCTGTTTCTTCATAGAAACGAATTAAAAATTATAATATTATAATATTAATTCAACTTTATATAATAAATAATAACAATATAAAATATCCAGACTGACAAAACGTCTCCGCTCAGAATCGTTTTTCTTATACAATATTATATCATTGAATTCAAGTTTAATACAATCCATTATACAATGACCCACTTGTAACCTACTGTTCAGCAGAGCGACATCCACTTATTTTATATTTGATTGATTGTAACTTTTATAATAATTTAATTTCTATTTATTTATTGAATATTTTGTGGCCAAGATTTTGCTAATGTAATTAAATGTTTAATTATTTGTTAAGAATTTAAGCTTATATAATAATAAAAAAATTACAATAACTACTCAAAGTCTCAAACATAACTAAGAAAATATTATGTTATTGTGTTCCTTATATATTTTATTGTATTATTTTCTTTTTTTTTAACCTGGAAAGAGTACATTTTGATTTTTTAAATATCATTTTTTACTTTTCATACTACTAATATCTCCATATTGACATAAAGTTCATATTGAAAAATAATTCTATAAGAAAATGTATTGAAATTAATATAAACAAACCAGCTCCTGATCCGTATGGAGTTTGTGTTTGTTGCCACGTACTCATTGCAAATGCTATTTATACACTGGTCCAATTAATCTGAAAAATATTAATAAAAATGTTATTCAAATCTAAAATATAAAACATTACAAAATTAATTTCATCTTATAAATATCTTTGTTTAAATTTAAAGGGTTAGAAAATATATCCTTAAATGTATCCTATTTAAAAATTAAGCAATTTTTTTTTATAGGTGCAAACAACAACACAATATTATTAACTAGTTAACACGGCTGTATATAATTGTGGTTTGGGCATGAGAAAGATAGAGTCTGATACATCCCAAACGACCACCAGAGGATATCTACCAAAAAGAGGACAACAGGTAAATTATAATGAACTCCGAATGAACATAATAAATTCAAATATGATTAGGTACCCTAACCTAATCTAGAGCAAGCACCTTCATGTCACCCAGAACAATATTTTATGTTTTTACACTGAAATATTTCAAGACTTTTTTTTTCAAATTCTTTAAAAAAATGTTTATGACTTTACGGTAATTCAAGGAGGCAACTGTTAGGGAACACAGTTGAAAAGAACAACCCGAGGAACAATCTGACAGTAGGTATGTAAAATTCAATAATTTGGAGGAAAAGAATTATAGGTGATGTGCAAACCACTCAATCAGTCAATTAATAGGTAACAACATTGACGCCATACTAGCTTCAGCTATCTTGTTGTAAGTTGTAATTATTTTTGTTGTGTAATATTTATGTAAGCTCTGAACTGTATTTTTTGGTAATTATATATTTTGATGTAGGTGTAAATATATTATACTGTCCCCAAAAATAAAAAATATAGGTAGAATAATAGGTATAGGTATTATAATTTGTGTGTTTGATTGATGAAGAATATTTTCTAAGTAATATATAGTTCTATAAGCTACAGGTAAGTATTAAAAAGATCCGAGAGAGGAAAATTTTTAAAATGATTAGCATTTATTGAATTTAGGAAAAAAATTACCAAATTTATACTTTACCAAAAATATATATAATGCTTAAATAAAAAATATTTTCAGTCAGTATAAGAAAAAGTTGACGTTAGCTTGTGGATGTTGTAGGATATAGCTGTCAAAAATAATAATAAATAATTATAGTAGGTCAGTTTATTATACAAAAAAAGTTAATTAGTTCAACTGTGCATAAAATAAAAATAATATTAGCAAAAAAATGAAGGTTTTTCTGGAACTCAAAATTGTTTTTATTTCAAATCATCCTCTTAGAAACAGAAACAAATTGCAGACCTCTGCTTTATACAATGCGTGTGTTAAATATTTTTCAATAATTTATATTTATATTATCAGCTAGCAAACTTAGTTACTTTTTAATTATTATAATTATCAATGTACCTATTTATCTTCCTAAAATGATTTATTACTTTTTCCAACAACTTCTGAAAACGAACATTTGAGAACCACAAAATTAAAAAATTAGTGCCTGATGTATCGTACGCACTACCGCAGCAGTGTGTGCTAGTTTTTGCCATAAACGTTCCAGTACAATAATTTACCGTCCAGTAACCCATCTCGTAACCGGATCAGCGTGCAAGCAACAACGGTAAAAATTACCGCACAAATAAAATATGAGTTACCGTACCATTTTCTGCAGCAGTGTGTGCGGACCTTTAGATTATGGGTTGAATTAATTTTATAATAGTACTATGAGTACCTACTATAATTTTATAATAGTACTATGAATTAAAATTATTTTACTACCTACCTCCGATTGATGACTATAATATACAGGATTATTTTATAGGCAAGCTACACAACACTTAATATTGTGATTAAAGATTCATTGGACTATTTCAAGATAACAAAAACATAACAACGTTATGATTCATTAGATGCCAAACAAAACCATCTTTTGGCACTTCTACTGGGTCAACGATAATAATACTGCACCAATTAGCTGATTCTGTTAAAATGAATTTAACATTAGAAAGAGCGACTAGATTAACAACTTTGATAAGCTTAGAAAGCTGGTTTTAATAGTAGACTTTATACAAATAAGTTTACGCAATAAGACGCAAAAAATAAAAAGTGCAGCAACCTTGAACTTCCAATATTCACGATTGTTCAGACGTCTTTTCCCTATTGGCTAATGCAGTATGCACACGGCTTACACCAATGCGGTGAGTCATCACGCAGGAATACGCTTATCAGCGAGCAGCAATGGTAGCAATGTAGGATCCTTTTGAAAGACCGTGTCGTATTTATAAGCCCGTAAACGGACGGGCAGCGGGTGAGACAAAGGTATTTCAGGTATTTGGGCGCCATGTTGACACGGGCGTCGGGCACACGCCACAGTCGTCATAGCCGTAATATACGTCATATTAATAACAAAATATACACAATATACCTAAAAGGCAAGAAGGTAAAAGACAAGAAAAATCGCTTACTGTCTTCGTGAATCCGTACAACCCACAAATAATGGTTATGTAACAGCCAACTGGTCGTCTGGTTTTAAATGGGTATTATTCAACACTGATCACTGCGTTTACAAATTGTATTTCAGAGCGACACCGATAGAAAGACTTTTGACGATGGACTGATCAGTGATCTAGGTTTACTTTACAACTGCTCACTGCCGTAGTGCCTGCGCGCGAGTAGATAACGACTTACGACACACAAGTGCGCAACTGATGAAACCAACGCGACAATGCGGCTGTGCGCAAGTCTCGACAATTGCGGGAATATTGGAATATTATCGTTGATTTGATTGACGTTTGTGTCTGTCGTACTCCGGACACCGAGCGGATAAAATATAATTTGCAAATTACACCAAACAAATTCGCGATATACCCATCGAAGGATCTAGAATTCTAGAAAATATTTATGGGAACTGGGAAGGCAACACAACACGTTATCAGTTATCACTGACACACAACGACTGACAAATTCTAAAAATTCTATACGACAATCAGGATTACAGATATTATAAAATGGTAACCCGACGGAATATGTCACAAGCGATTTTACATGGCGATTGAAATTACTTTCAGAATCAGCTGTTGAACATGGTTGAACTAACTTAATGCGCTCTCTATAATATTAATATGATATAATAATTATATTCACAGATATATAAAAATATAAGTATTTTTATATATCTGTGTTTATATTATTATGGTATAATAGTACATAAATATTCCACTGCTGTTATAGAGCGCTACAGAATTGTTCTTATCGTGTGACTGTGTGAGTAATATGATAATATCTTACATTCTAAAATCTTACTATTTAGTCCGTGGCACGATCATAGATATATAAAACAACTAGATAGCCGACTCTGTGATAAAGTCTCATAAGACCATAGAGTAGTACTCTATGGGCCAACCATATGTTTTTTTTATCTCATTATTATGGATTATCACAATTCATTATTATAGATTATAACCACGGACTAAGATATACAGGACTGGAAACGGAGTATTATTAGTGGAACCCAAATGTTTTCATTTGGTACATCACGGACACCCAGCGCCATCTATTAACTATTAAGTGGATTTAGCATTGAACTAAAATAAAATGAATACTAAAACAATTTTTATTATAATTATTATAACATAATATTATTCTTTATTTCTTTTCAACATAGCAAGGCATTTTACATTAAAAAATATATATTTTGAAACAAAGATATAACTGTTACCTATGTGTGAACTAATTTTGCAAACTTTTTTTTTTTTGCATTTTCTTTACTTTGGTTTTTATTTGTATGTAAAGCGTACTGCCTCATCCTCATAATAATAAAGTTGGATATAATATGAGTTAGTACATCTTGTTTGTGTTCAATACATGGAAAATTTATGAACTTATTAGTTTCAAAGAATTCATCAATAGTCATTAAGAAAACGTTATTGTTATCGCAGTGCTTAGCAAATGATTTTTCAACAGTACTCAGCAATCCAAAAATAAAATCATTTGGGTAAGTCAAACCTCCTTTTGATTTTATGTTAAGAAGAGCCGCTTCTGGCCTGCTGCAGTATGACTTAGTACCTAAACATAAATTACAAAACAGAACTGAAATTTAGGTAATAGGCATGATAATTGATAGGGAATAGGGATAATAAACTATTGGTTACTATAGTTTATTTTAACATGGAAGTAGGTTTATTTACTAATATACTAAACATACCAATTAATACTGTGAGACAAGTATCACATTTTACAGTTTTTATGAGGTTCTTAGTTATATACCCACAAATATAATATAAAACACAGTCCTCTGCCTCTGCTTTGTTATAATTATGAATATTATGTTCAAAAATAATATCATCTACTTCCACATTAGTCATAATTAAGGTGTCAAGTTTTTTTCTCAAAATTTCAATTTTTTCAGCTCTTTGTGAAACTTGTTCTTTATTATCAACTAGGTTCAAATCAGTAATTGTAATTGTATGAACAGTAGCTTCTAAAATCTTACAATTGCCAGATTTTGGTGGTTTTAACAATGAGTACATGGACAACATTTTATACACCTGTAGAAATGTTGGTGTACTTGGATGTTCATTTGGGCCAGTAGCTTGCCTTGACATTCCAAAAAATTGCTATAAAAAATAATATTTTATACTTGAAATAAACAATCAGAGATGTAAAAAAAAAAACAGTATATAATTTTTCTATTTTTCATCTATTTTATAATATTTTAAAATATATTGTTAATCAATCTCCAACGTCTAACATATAGGTACCTCTAATTTATCCTGGTTCATTTTGGATGTTAATACAAATTTGAATCCGCATTTCTCTAAAAGGTACTCTGTTAATTCTAATGTGGATTTCATAGTTACACGCAACCCATCGGCTGTATTTTGAGTCAAGTACTCATCTTTAGTAATATATTTATTTTCAACTTGATCTTCCCAACAATTAATCCAATTAAGATTATCTTTTAAAATCTGAAAGAAATTAATTTTTAATAATTATTATACTATTATATTCAAATTGTTATTTATAATTTATATAACTACCTGGAAATCAGGACTTTTCTTTTTTATTCCTTCTGCGGGGTACTTTCGGTTGAATACATCAAATAGCTTATTAAATCGATCCGTAAAAAGTTGTGTTTGAAAGCTATTTTTTAATGATTCTACTTTTACATAATCTCTATAAAATTCAAGACCTTTGGCCATGGAATCACTAAAAATCTGAAATTAATTAATAAATGTGTAATATACTTGTTTTTTATAATTGTTTTTTCAAATTTTACCTGAGTGGCTAATTTAACATTCATCTTACTAAAACCATCAACATGTAAATGTCTTAGCGTAATTTTGGGGCAAACTTTTGTTGGGGAATTCGAATTTCTTTTGATATCATTTTCATATACATCAATATAATGTGACCACCTTATGTATGGAGTTTCCAGAGACTCCTGGAAACCATTTAACATATTATAATATTTCATTTGAATTTAATAATCATTTTAACTACCTATTAATCTATTAGAAATACTAAATTTAAAAAAGGTATTTACTCTTAAACTTTTTTTGTTGTGAAGCCTGTTTCTAACATTCTTTATTAAATGTGGGGCATCAGCAAATATATAAATTTTTCGTTTGCGGTCAATTGGATTTTCAAATGAATTTGATATTTGATTTTTTTTACCAGATATACCTAATTCTCCCCAAAGTTTTCGGTTTGTAGATGCCCCATCTGATACAACTCCTTCAACTTTAATCCCAATATTTTCCAACAAACATATGGATTTCACAACTAATTGTGCTAAAACTGTACCTATAATAGTATAATTAATCTTATAAAATATTAAGGGTGAATATTAAAATCAACATATTAAATTAAAAATAATTATAACTCACAACATAAATCTTTCAACATAGGTATTATAAAACAAAGATGTTAGATACCTAAAACCTAAAATCTAGAAACATAAACATTAAACATGCCACAAAAGCAATTATACAAACATACAATTAAAAAATATTAATACAAATAAAAATATTAATACAAACATAAAATTAACCAAAAGCTACAAAAAAACATACACTTAGAGTCACCTGCAAACTAAAATATATTAGTGTATTACTAATATTTTTTTAATTATTATTTATACTGTATATAGTTAATTATCAACCACAATTATTAGCTTAATTCAGAAAATCTGAAAATCAAACATATAAATACCTACAACATGTTTTCTTATTTATGAATACCTACCTTTCACTGGTCCTCTGGATGCAAAAACAGCAATTGGTTGTGTGAAATTTAGAGCTAAACTCTGAAACATAAACACCAATGCGTGATTGGCATTTAAACCAGAAGATTCACTTTCCTCCCCAAAATCTTCTAAACCACTATAAGTTAGTGTCTGAGAGTTTACACTAAAGCTTTCTCTTAAAAACATTTCATCATACACTAATATTCCATGTTTTTGTTCAGTTCTGAGAATACCAACTTTTTTTTTTAACAACTGAAAAAATCTTTTGTCAAACCCACAATTAATATCTAATAAAGACAAATATTTCCGGATAGTTCTTGGACAAGGTAAAGGCAATATTCCTTGTTCCCTTAAAAATCCATAAGTGGAAGGTGATCTGAAAAAAATTAATAATTAATATTTTTGACCACTCTTTGTCTAAGTGAATATTTTTACCTTATTTTCAACAACATGCATAATAAAATCCAATTCTCTGAATAACGTCTATTTTTTAAATTGGTGACTTTACTAGCATTTACGATTTCTTGGACTATTGTTTTTTGTGAACTATTTAAGTTTGTATGTTCAACTAAATCATTTAATGATTTATTTGTTAAGTTCTTTGATTTATCTTGTAGTTCACTCAATGTACAATTTAATTGGTTAATTTTTAATTTAAACCTTTGAAAAATAAAATATTATAAAGTATTTTAATAAATAAATAGGTAATTAGTTTAAATTAATTTTACCTTTTGTTGGATTTCTTAACATTTTTCGATTTTTTTATCATTCCTTTAATTATTTTGTGTCTTGTAGGAGTGAGAGTTGTTCCAACATATGTTTTAGTTCTTATAGATAATCTTTTTTTATACTCTCTAAAATAAGGGAACAATGAATTGCACCTTTTACATCTTTTTTTTGAACTTGTTAGAATAGAACATTCATTATGGCGCCAGGTTGTATTCTCTAAATAAGTATTCTTAACCCGAATTCCTAAATAAAAATTGGTTTAGGTAGGTACCTATACGGCTATACAACTGTTTTATTTAACATTTAAAACTCATACCTGAAAAATGTATGACACTGGGACCTCCTTGGCATATTTCTTTTTGTTCAAACAATTGAAGGGTTTCAGTAATTTGCAATGTATCAAGTGGGTATGTTAATTGTTGTAGACCCAAATTTTCAGGATTTCGACGCTTTTGATTAACATAATAGCTCACTTTTAAACTATTTGATTCAAAAACAATTTGTTTTTCAATAACAATTTTAGCTTCATTAAATTCTATGAATTTAATCAGCTTATACAATGCAACAATACATCCATCATGATATAATGACCAACCAACTGGCAATAATAAACTTTCATACCACAGTTTTGATTCCTTTAATAAATCATATGACTATGAAGTTAGGTAGGTATATATAAATTAAATAATCTACATGGTCTACTATGACAATTAATCATAAACATACTATTAATGTTGGTGTTTGACATAATCTCTTAGGCTTGGGTTCACCAAACAATTCTTTCCTAAATGACTCAGTAACAGGTGTACAAGATTCTCGAGGTTCTGCAGGCAAATCATTTGTTTTGTGAATATCAAATGGTGAATTGAATACTGATGGAAAAGCACCTTTTTTTAGCCCAATTAAATTCCTTTTAAACTGTGTATAGAATTATTGAGTTATAATTTATAATTTATAATGACCAAGTAGGTACTTATATAGTACCTACCTAAATGGCTAAATACAAATAATTATGTTTTTTTACTTCCAAGTCATTACACCCACTATAACTGTTAATCAAATCTTCTTTCCTAAAATGTTCTATACAAACGTATGTCACTTTACGTTTATGATTACCATTTACTTCATTAATAATTTCCTCCCACGATTCTCGAACTTTAAACAACTGAACATTGGACCGTTCCTTAGTGGTACATAAAAATACTGAACACTGGCGAGGCATTTTAATTTTATAATTTCAACACAAATGTAGAATATAGTCGTAACTATTTAAATGAATCAAGCAGTAGATCTAGACGCTCTAGTAAGTATCTAAATTTCTAAAGTCTAAATACTCTACTATTTACTAATGTAATGAATATAAAATATGCAATGAGACCAATGTAATTTATTTTTCTGTGCCAATGTATTTATAGAGAAGTAATGGTAGATAAGCTATAAGCCTACTAGATAGCGCTATGTGTCCCACATGTACCTATTGAAAACATTTGGTATCCAGCCCTCTACCACCCTCCAGCCTTATCGTTACCAGTCCTGTATATCTTAGTCCGTGATTATAACTCGTAATAACGGATTCGACAACTCGTAATAACGGATTGACAACTCGTAATAACGGATTGGATAACTCGTAATAACGGATTGGACAACTGGTAATAACGGATTGGATAACTCGTAATAACGGATTGGACAATGGTACGATAGTTATCGTACACATACAATGATTTAAGCCATTTTGTACTTTGTGCGAATATTGTAGGTACGATCAGTGTCGCGAGAATTGGGGAAAAAAAATCCCCGTTAGCATTATACCGGGGATTGACTATGTACAAATAATTTAAAAGAATTATGATATTTTTTTATAAATTATATATATAATAATATTATATTAAAAATAAAATAAATATTGTATATTATTATGTTAAAAATGTCTTATACCCTAAAATTACAATATATATGTTTATATATATATATTACCTAGATGGTTAAGTACAGTGTTGGCCTGGGACACCAAAGGCCCATAGGATCAGTTTTTTAAGGGGCCCCATAATGGAATACAAAATTTACTTGACATTTTGGTGAAAAAATGCTCACCAAATGTTTTCCTTTAAAAATACATTTATTCAAATTCTGATTTTTAGAATTATTATGTATACCTAAAGACAATATATATTCAAATTCCTGATATTTTTTGTACTACTATTAAAGAGTGTCTTGTGGCTATACAAACTTAAATTTTTCAAATGACAATTTAATTTTACAAATTATTTATCTTGATAGCATAGCCGTGCGCAGGGGGGATGCTGGATATGCCATGGCATCACCTGCAGAGTTAGCACAACCTATATAGTTTTTAGTTGTAAATGTTTTGATTATAAATTAGAATCATGAACTAATTGATAGTTTATAGACTATAGTATCTCAGTTCAAGAATTTAAATATTTTGATTATTTTTTTTATCCTATTTTCTTAATAATAAAATATTCGGAGTTCAGACAAAATAAAATATTAATTAGATTTCATAATTATATTTTCATAATCACTACAGGTAGGTAGGTACCTAAAAATAATAAAATATATTGCTAACTCATAACAATATAGTTGAAATCAAAATCAACCGTGAAAATTGCGGGTTTTGTCACCAGAAAATTCAGGCCCTTGCAGTATTACATATTTTCATACTACATTATACAATACTATCAAAAATAAAATTAATTCGATTAGTTAGATTATCATTTTTTGTCATTATTATAATTTGATCAAATGCCTGCAGGTTTTTATACTGTTACTTTATTGGAATTATGAAATCACAGTACAAGAATTTCAAATTAAAATATCTAAAACCAATAAATAAGCTAAATAAAATGCACGTTAATTTCTTTTCGCATTATATGGCAAGTTATTCGTACCTATTAAGAGTTTTTGGGGAGTTATTTTTTTATTGTGATAGACAGTGGCGTCCGCAGGGGGGGGGGGTTGCTAATGGACTGAAGCCCCCCCATTGCCCTTATTATTATTACTTTAAAAAAAAGTATTTATCAAGTTTTTACTGTCAACTATAGTAGGTAAGCAAAACATAAATTTCATATATTATGTCTTACCAGAATGAATTCATTTTTGAAAAAACAATGTACCTATTTGCATACCAATATTCATAAGTTATCTGTAATTTTTTGGTAAAAGTTTTCCATGATTGTTATATAAATAGTATAGTTTGTAATTTATTTCGGATTGCCTATCTAGGTGGCTAACTTGAAAGTTAATCTTGATTTTGACTTGAGATGACTGACTTGCTAGACACTCCAACACGGTTTTCGACTTTACACTTTTTACATAAGAAAAGGCACCGGACATGCGAAGGCACATACCACTCTATGTGATATACCTGCTATATATAGGTGATAGACGGATTGCTCATTTTAGTTTCGTCTTAAACGGTGATGATTAACTTGATAGACACTTTAACATGCAGGTATTTGCATTTTTTTTTTAAAATTAATATATTATATACAGTATACACTATAGTTAAACGTTTATATGTATTGTATTGGTTAATATAATAGCATATATCTAACTATCTACCTATATGTTAATTTTTTTTAGGAATTATAATTGCACATTTCTCAAAATGTTCATTGTTATATTATATCACACAATAAATACATATCATATTTGTTTGTATGTATATTGTATATAGTTTGAATTTTTTGTAAATTATTTCGTAAGTTGTGTGATAGGGTTTTCACTTATAGCCGCTTGATGTAGGCTCTGCAATCCACCGCAGGTGGATTGCCTACCTGATTTGCTATAGCACATTGTCCGCGATCCGACGAAGTCGGATTGCCTACGTAAGTGGTTAACTTGAAAGTTAATAGATTTTGACTTGAGATGGCTGACTTGCTAGAAACTCCAACACGGTTTTCGACTTTACACTTTTTACATAAGATAAAGCACCAGTCATGGTATGTGCAGGTATACTCTATATAGGCATACGCGTGCGCAGAATTTCTGGCAGGGTAGTCATATACAATAAGTACATAAAACATTAACACACACACATATTACGTACCTATATATTATAATATTCATATTCACACCTAAGTTACAATAACTAATTTGGACAGTGGCGTCCGCAGGATTTTTCAATGGGGGAGGCTTGAAAATTAGTTACAATTTTCTTTTTATTTTGTCCAGTCTAATAATTTCAGACGTTTATTTGAGGTATTTTAAAATGTTTGTAACTTTTCAACTTTTCTGGTAGAAAAAATGCTCTGATCATAAGCTTCGATGATGCCCGGTGTATGTTTTTGGAAGCAAATTGGATCTAGTTGGTACTATTAGGAGGTTGAAATTAAAAATGCTCAGTGCTTTTAAAAATAATTTGAGAAAAAAAAATGAAAATTTATTTAAATGTTTGGTTATACCGTCTTCACTTGGATTGTTTTAGAATAATTAAATTTTTTTTTTTTCTATAAATGTCAATAAAAATTATTTATTCGGTCAAAAAGCTTAAAAATGTAATACGTATGTTTTTTTATTATAGCTAAAATATTAACGATACATAGGCATCATGCTTATTTTTTATAAGCATTTAAAGTTCAAATTGTCAAAACCACAGTTAATTTGTAGTTCAAAACTTATTAAATATTAAATGTGTATAGCTAATGCTAGACAATTTAATACAAGGTCTTTCATACAAATAGTTCATACTTTTACCGAAAAATTACAGATAATTTATGAAAATTGGTATGTTACAAATACTATGTTTTTTCAAAAATGAATTCATTCTGGTAAGACATATTTGAAATTTACGTCTTGCTTACTATAGTTGACAGTTTAACTAAATTAATATTTTTTTGAAAAAGTAATAATAATACGGGTAATGGGGGGGGGCTTTAGCCCTTAAGCCCCCCCCCCCTGCGGACGCCACTGAATTTGGATGGGGTAACCTCATTTAACTACATTTACCATGGTAAAAAAGTATTTTATGATTGACTATCAATTATCATAATAATAATAATATTGATTATTGAGGGGGCCGAGGGGAGTTCGCAGAGTAGTCAAGTGCCTACCATGAACGCTTATGAATATATGATCCTGGAGATCGTATCCAGCCTATCCATTTACAACGTTTGTGACGGATTGCTAGACCCTCAAACTTTTAACATTCCCGCCCAAGCGTCTAGCCTTATCTCCAATCCATATCACTAATCCTTATCACAAATCCTAAACTTTCGTCTTACAACCTTTGCGACTTTTATAATTCATTGTCTCCAAAATCGGTACCCACTCCCAGCGAGTCCAACGGGCCCCGAGTTACACTTAGAGCTAGTTACTAAATAAGTCACTCTCTCACACGATTAAAGTATTTAACTGCCACAGCTAGGCTGCACTGGCTTGTTCTAATTCATAATATCGACTTGTGAGTTGAGTTAATCAATAATTATGATATAAAAAAACATATAGATAATAGATGGCTTTTCAACTCGTAATTAGTAATTAGTAATTACGAGTTGTCCAATCCGTTATTACGAATTGTTCAATCCGTTAATACGAATTGTTCAATCCGTTAATACGAATTGTTCAATCCGTAATTACGAGTTGTTCAATCCGTTATTACAAGTTGTCGAATCCGTTATTACGAGTTATAATCTATAATAATGACTTGTGATAATCCATAATAATGAGATAAAAAAAACATATGGTTGGCCCTTCAACGCTTCCGTAGTTATGTGATAATGGTTTTGTGATAAGAGAAACTGCTCCGAGGGGGCTGTCTCTAGACGCTCGTGTTTTATATATCTATGGGCACGATTAAAGATATGGGTTGCACATCGACTACTGATAAGGTGAAATACGAAATGACTACCAATAATTAACCAGTGGCGCTCCAAGCGGCAGTATTACAATTAACCAATTATAGATATATAGGTGTAAAATTAGTTCTAAATGTCGACACATATGGTTGAGTGTTGACATTAAGCGCCACTAGTTAATTATTAACAGCTGATTTTTATAGTCACTTTGTAAATCAGTCTGGAAGCGGTTTACTATAGGGCGATGTGCAACCTGAATAGTGTATATCTTTAATCGTGGTCCGTGGTGACAACCTTACTCCAGATCCGTCCAGACTCCAGCCAAGAATCAAGATGTTTTCCCTGTCCCTCTAAGCTAATTAATGTTTTGAAAATAATATATTTATTATATTAATTCCATTTAGTTTTCATTGTTTTTAATTTATTGAATTAATTATCATTTCCTTTTGGTGTTATTCGTAACAGCTTATAATAGTCATTTATACATATATATGAAGTACTAACACTAACTAATAATAGATAAACTAGTTATAAAATAAAAAAAATATGTAAATAATCATTCATTTTTCTAAATAAATCGTATCTGTTCTAAAAATGTTGGCCCTCGATGCCAAAGCGTATCTCAAATTTGGCCTGCCGTAAAAAAAGGTTGGAAACTTCTGCTTTACACTATTACAGTGACCCACTTGTAACAGCAGAGCGACACCCAATGCCCACCTTTTTTTCTAATGCTTATATTCGAGGCTCGTCATTACAGAAATTGTATTCATGGAATATAGAATTTAATGGTACAATTTTTATTTTGAATTTTTAGGGAATTTATTTACTTTACTGTAATTTTTAGGGTTCCGTACGGTAAAACGGGACCCTATTACTAAGGCTCCGCTGTCCGTCGGTCACTTGGCTGTATCTCATGAACCATGAAAGATAGAAAATTGAAATTTTCACAGATTTAAGATTATGTATTTCTGTTACCGATATAACAACAAATTTTAAAAATCCTAAAATATACAGGGTTATTCAAAATGATTCATCCGATTTAAAATGGCTATAAAAGATCTGACGCCTTGTGATTATTTCTTTTGGGGATATGTTAAAGACACTGTGTACATTCCACCACTGCCATAAAATCTTGATGAATTGAAAAATTGTATTACAACAGCCATGGAGTCGATTACAAAAGATATGCTGCAAAAAGTATGGTAAGAATTTGACTACCTACTAGATGTTATTCGTGTAACCAAAGGAGCTCATATAGAACATTTATAGATACAGTTAAGTTAATTAAACTTGACATATTTTTCTTTTATTTAATGTATAACATATTGTTCTAAACCTAAAAAATAAAATAATATAAGCACTTTAAATCGGATGAATCATTTTGAATAACTCTGTATAGTATAAGCAGTGCTGCCAACATGTTTATAGAAGATGGTACGGAACCCTTCGTGCGCGAGTCCGACTATATAGCACTTGGCCGCAGTGTTGCCAGACGTACGGTTTGTATCGTACATGTACGATAATTCAGGCTAATGTACGATGTACGATTATCGTACTCTAAAATACGATAATCTGGGGAATTCATTTATCCAAAATTTCACCAAAATTTGAATTTTTGTTTAAAATATTATAAATATATTTATTTATTTGTTATTTATTATTGTCTCTATTATAGTATATTATACATTAAGTTAATGATTTAAAAATGTTTGACAATAAAGGATTTATTTTATATTTATATAAATTTGTTATTCATTATCATAACAAACCTATTATTTCCAGTACATGTTATTTAGTTACCTACACTTTTTTTTACAGAAATTAGTTGTTGAGTTGAAGTTAACAAAGGTGGGCATTAACTTGTTAAAAAGTTAAAGTTAAGTTAAAAAGTTAATTTTTTTTTAACTTTTTAACTTAACTAGTTAATTATTTTTGTTTTTAACTTATTAACTTATTCAGTTAAAATGTTTATTGTTGTAACTTTAAACTTTGACAACTTCCATTAGTTAATATATCAAAAGATATAATAAAAGATGAAGTTCCCGATAAATTTTGGACGTATCTTAAACATTTAGAAAGTGGGCAATTTAGTGAACTTGCTTCATTTTGTTTAAGCGTTATGTCTCTTCCCCATTCCAATGCACAATGTGAAAGAATTTTTAGTAAGATGAATAGAATTAAAACTAAGTCAAGAAATAGATTAATTACTTCAACTGTTTCCGCAACCTTAATGACCAGTGAATGTATAAAAGAACATGGTAGAGGTATTTGCGTCGATTTTGTGCCATCCAAAGAAATGTTTGATAGAATGTGTTCAAATAACTTATATCCTAAGACTGATTTAATCGATACATACGATTTTATACTTAAAGATTAAATATGAATAATAATTAATAATAAATATAAATATATAATATAATAATAAAAATATGTTGTTTTCTATGAATAATGATAATGTAATAATAATAACGATAATGTACGATAATGTACGATAATTTAATGATAATCCGTGTACGATAATATACGATAATTTCATAAGTTGTGTACGATTTTCGGCTACTTAAAATCTGGCAACACTGCTTGGCCGGTTTTTTTAGTATTTTAAATTTTTGGTGCATTTTATTCAATTTGTACTTTTTTTTACATATATGATTATATAAATGCATTTTTCTTATTGAAAGTTACACTTTATTGTAACACATTCGGTTTCCATTAGCTGATCGATTATTGACGTTTATTGTCGCAATCTAAGATTATATTATAAACATTAAACTGTAGGCAGATACTAGGTATTTTAGGCCCGGTCAATCAGAAAAATGTTAACAAAAGTCGATCAACTTATATCCAAATGCAAAAAAAAAATTTTAAAGGTTCCTTCGAGAGTAAACATTTTTAAAGAAGTAGCGCACCTATAATGATAACAATTTATGATACATGAATAAATTATATAAAACATACATTTTTAAAAATAGTAGTAATTTTTTTTTTAGGTCATCAAGTTCTGGGTCCTAATAAAAAGCATAAGTAATGTTCTTTTTGTATAATGTGGTGGCTTGAGGGAAGAAACAATCAGTGAAGGCACTTTGGCATACATTTAATATTGATTTATGTTATTTGCATCTTTAATCTATAAGGTCTTGAATCCTTTTGTCACTTGAGTTTTTTCAAGGGGTTTCCGACTTTCTGAGGATGGAGATAGATAGTAATTTTTATAACATGGGGGTTGGTGTGATTTTTAAAGAAATTTCTGAATTTAGAGTAGAATAGCTTGGCTGTTTCAGTGACTTAAGGAATGTGGAGGGTATGGTTTGAGACATAAAGAGGAGCATTAGTGATGAATTTATGAATCAAGGATTTTTTATGGGAACACTTGTATTTTTTGTGTACTTGATTTATTGGCAGTGCCCAAGAGCTGTATACTATATAGAATACATGTAGTATATAAATACATATTATCCCTTAAATAGGTGCCATTGAGTATTATATTATAAATTGATACATTTTGTGTACATTATGTTTGTAAGCTTCTTGAAATTTAGTTGATATTACAACCTTTGTAATTTAGGAAAATGAATATTTACTGCTACATGCATTGATTATTTAATTACATTTATTACATTTGACTAATTAATATTGGAATATAATAAACCAAACAATTAAAATTAATAAATGCATAATAGTTACCTACTTCTAATTTAGCAATATGAACATTTAGAAATTACCTAACTTTTTAACAAATAATAACTCAAATGATATACTATTAGTTTTGATAATTTAAGGTTTGAAACTACTTTCTCTTTCAATCCAATCCTTTTTCAATGTTTCTAATTTTTTCCGTTTCCATTCTTTTTGTGCATTCTTTTTTTCTATAATTGCTTTTTTTTGTGCTTCGACTGAATTATTACCATTTTCTATTACATCTAATTTTATAGCAAGTTTTTCCCTAGCCATTTTTCTGTTATCTTCAACACATCTTGATTCATGACATTTAATGACAATGCCAGTTGGTTTATGTTTTAGTACCACACAATTAGCATTTTTATTGACTGCTGATCCACCAGGACCACTACCCTTAACAAACATTTCTTCAAGTTCATTTTCGTTTATAATAGGCACTTTTGAGCGGTCTATAGTCTGTTTCTTATTGAATAACGTTAAACTAATACCTCTAGCAGTCTTCACACTTTTAGTGTTAAAAGGTAGAGCTTTGCACAATAATGAATACATGGATATTGGATATAATGAAAACGAACACAATTTATACTATTGACTTTCTTTTTAATAACTCTTGTCCTTTCTGAAACAAATAAATATAGACAGATGGTAAATAATACTTTATTATCTATATTAATAAAAAAGATCGAAAGCCAAGTCTATAGAACTCATATTTCTTAAAATTGTTACATAGGTAATTATTTACAGTACACGGAATGTGCAACTCGAAGCCAATTCTTAATTTTGCACAAAGATTTGCTAGCTCAAGATATTGTTGTATTAAGCGTTTAATCTAGATATAAGTTCAAAGGATGTAGTAATAAGAAATGTTAGTACATAAAAACTAGGTTAAGAAAACAACTATGGGTAACGCTGTGCAACATCAGCAAGTTATAAATATAAATAATATACTTAAATATATATGATAATATCATTGTCTATAAATAGTAAATATTTTTGTTAGACATTGCTAGTCAAGAATAATCATTATTTTAATTTATGAAACAAATATATTTTACTTGATATTAGAGTGGGAATTTGTACGATTAACATATTTAATCTAGTTAATTGTATGAAAGATACAATAGTAGGATAGGTACTAGGTATTAAGTAAGATCAATATTTGTTTCATGGCATAGACATTGAAAACATGATATTTTTTGCACATGCTAACATATTATGCAAACTTTTTAATGTTGCAGTTAAAATAGTAAAATTAGAACTTAATTTTAATATTTTATCTTTTAGTAAAAATTCAGGTGTTTTCTAAAAATCTTCAAAAAACTTTAAAAAAAAAAATGATGTGAATTTTTGGTATCCGAAAATTATGATTTTTTAACTGTAAAAATATTTTGGACTTACTTCATAGAAAAATTTAATTTCTTCCGGTTTAACTAACTGTTTATTTTCCAAAAATTCCTGTTTGATTCGACTTTTATAATAATTTTTGTCAGTAAGTTTTAAATTACACCCATACTTCAAAAGCTCTTTGTATAATTTCTTTACTTGTAAATGGGTAATAGTCATTTCTAAAAAAATAAAAAATAATAATAATTAAAATAATAACAAAAACAATAACCAATATAAATGAATGGATTACAACTACATACAATATTGACATATCAGTAGCTCACTGTGTTCTATTTATATTACCAAATGGATGTAAGCAATAATTTACTATAAGACCCTTGCGTAATTGTATAACCACTCAACAGTAAACGTACCTGAGAAAGGATAACTGTTCTCGGCAAATTCAAAACATTTGAAATATTGAAATGGACCGTCGAACGCAGCTAATGTATGGTTTGTAAATACATTTAGTGATTCAGCTTATAATATTTTAAGTATGAAACTGAAAAACAAACACAATTACACAAGTTTAGTGGATAAACCGTATGTACTCTAGTTCTTGTCTATGGTCTGTACTGTACACAGACCACTAACAATTATAGTGATACGTTTTTATCTTTTCTATAGTGATATTGATTAGTGGAGACACAGATTTCTATATATTACTAGATAGCGAACTCCGGTCATGAATTGAAGCCTCAAGGTCGGTTGGCAATTGTATGGTATTTCATATGACAAATAAGATGATATTATGATTTATTTTATATCGTATTTTATTATTTTTAAACATTTAGTTTACAAAAAAAAAAAAATATTTTATATAAGTCATTTTACATTTACTATTTTATTTGACCGTTAAAAAAAATATTATTCCTAATACATTTTGTATAATAAATGAAATGTTTTGCCAACCGACAAAATGGCGGCCGTTCACAGCTGAGCTTCACTTGTAACAATGTAAATTGTATAAGAGTTCCTTATCTAGTGTAGTATAGAAGTCTGTGAGTGGAGAGTGCCCAGTGGTTAGCCTGCGGTCGCCGGTATACCAGAGTGTTAAGGTGGGTTTCACTACTAACAATTATCCCAATTAACTTTTATTCCAAAATTGGGAAAATGATACATTGAGACAACAATATTTTGGGAAAATTTGTATACTCCCGCATAGAACGTTAATAAAAGGTTATAGTAACATCATAGAACAATATGGTAATATCCCGGTAATCTGATTAATAACCGAATGTTTCAATGAAATGGGCGGAGTCATATTGTTCTATAGTCATATCGTTCCCCGGGGAAAATAATGATTCTACTTGGGTTTCTGAACGCACCCTAGACATTTTCTAGACAGTCTTCATGGAGTAATATTACTTTATGATTTTGAATTGTGATTCATGTTATCAACTTTCGAGTCGACCGGAGTACCGGACGTCAGTATGATAATGAATAATAATAATTAAATGATTTTTTCTTTCGAGTTGGGATTTTCGACTATAATGTCCATATTATATTGTTGAGCTTTTAAAATAAAATAAAATATTGTTAAGTTAAATAAGTGTAGTGTATACTGAATTTTATCACCGGATATTCCAATAACCGGTGAGTTCAAGAGATATATGATTTTTAATTCCTAATTATTTAAACATTTTTATTAAGTAATGGATTCTGACACTGAAAATCGGAGGGAAGAAAATGGAGATGCTCCCAGACACACTTTAATTGGAAAATGTGTTATGAAAACCTTATCTCATCCTCTGGATTATGCTAGATTTTTGGTGCAGGTAAGTCATAATGAAGTATTAAGAGTTTTATGGTTGTGTAATTATTAATACTAGCATATTTGAATAAACCCTAAGTAAATAGTTGTTAAATATACACTGGTCTGTCTCTTCACATTCACTTAAGTTATAAAAAGTTAAGATTTTAATTTTTTTAATGTTATACCTATTCATTGTATGGATGTAAAGCATACAGTATACACTGTATACTAGAGGTATTCAAACTGAGTTCCGTGGCTTTCAGGGGCGTGTGAGGGTTGGCGAATGGAACCGCTTAACGCACTGGAAACCAAAATTAAAGTAGGTCATGTATAATTAATTTAAATATTTTATATAATCATTAAAGTCAGTCGCGCACACTGGAGGGTTCAAGGGTAGCAGTTGCTACCCCTGACTTTTTTTGGTATTTGGGTGGGTGGACCCCCTGGCTCCAAAATATTTACATCATGAAAATTCTACTACGTATAAAAATATTGAAAATAAACTCTTGAATAGTTATAGGCTATAGCCATTAGTCTATTAGTTAATATAGAGGTAACCGAATCAATTTACTACCCCTATTTATTTTTGAGTGTGCACCACTGATTATAGCTATTGTGGAAACAATTATGAAACAGATTACGCGACTATTTGAAATTCTATTTCTAGTACTAAAGTCACTGTTATTATCACCCATATTATATCTGTATTTTTTCACAATAATTTGGGAGCCATAAAAATATTGTGAACACACAAAAGAGCCATGGGATTAAAAAGTTTGAATACCTCTGCACTATAAGCAAATGTCACTTAACAGTTAACACCTTAATAATTGGTTCAAATTAATATATCTAAATGTAGTTTTCCAACAGGAATCTATCAGAAAGGCATGCCATTAAATTATAATTTTCTTTTAAATAATTGTTGAAAACCGGCTTTATATATACTGATTTGTCATTGTAGACTGTGGTTACAGTAAACTAATTATACTATGGTTTTAAACTGATTAACCTCAATTCAAAATAGTTTATTCTCGGAGTTAAATACATGTAGAATCAGTTGAATATCAATTCGGTTTACCCTAAAGGTTTAGTTAATTCACATTTGAAATGCATATAAGAATTAACTCTGGTAGTATAAAAATCATGTAAATGGAACGGACCATTACAACCAAATCATGATTATTGGGGTATCCGGACAATTTCCCCCCGGACATTTTCCCCCCGACTGTTTTTGGCGTAGTAGGACATTTTCCCCCGAAAAATGTTCCGATGCGGACATTTTCCCCCCTTTTTTTTTAATTATTTTTTTTTCATAAATATAATCAATTATACCTACTACAATTAACTTTATAAATGTATACTATAAATTTCATTTTTTTTTTCATAAATATAATAAGACATACAAAAAAATGGAAATAAGTAAAATAGGTTAAAAATTTCATATTTTTTTTTTCATAAATATAATAAGACAAAAAAAATTTTTATTTTATATATTTTTCACTTTACGAATTACGAGTTACAATCACTAAACCACTACTAAATGACTACAACTGCTTTGAAAAATTTTTATACAAAAGTGCAAAACCTTTGCTCATGAAGATATAAGATTGTAGAAGAATCTTATCTTAATAGTCTAATAAATCAAATAATATGATAGTTTTTGACAGCCCAGCAATTGATTGGGTTTTAGATACATTTTTAGATTTCAATGTTACTAGCGAATAAATAATAAGGTAATAAAATATGCTTAATACAGTATGCTAGTACTTACTATTATTTTTTATTTAGACAATCTTTTAAATATAATATTACTATTATTTTATTGTTTCGAGTAGTTGAATCAATCAAAAATATACATCTACTATAATAGGTAATTATAGTATAATTGATTATATTTATAAAAAAAAATTATATTTTACTGAAAAAAATAATTTCTTATTAAATAATAAATAATAAACTTAAAAAAAAAATGGGGGGAAAATGTCCGCATCGAATATATATTGGGGGGAAAATGTCCTACTACGCCAAAAACAGTCGGGGGGAAAATGTCCGGGGGGAAATTGTCCGCCATTCGATTATTGGTACTAGATTATTAATTTACATTAAAATAAATTGCTCGATAAATTGTGTTAAACTGTGAATATAAACGTAGCAATGTAGTTTACATGGCTTAGTAGAAGCGTATAACAGTAATACAATTTTAATTGTGAATGTATACTTGCGCCCTACTTTAATATGAATCAAGTTAATTTAAATTAGGTAATGGATACATGTAAAGAAGTCGATAATGGGTACAACTGTATATCATATTATTATTATGCTATTTTGTCAACATATACATACTGATTATAGTGATGAGATAATGTAATAACAAGGTAATGAAGGAAAACAAAATAATTAAACATGTGAAGAAAATTTGTACAGACTTCTTGTAGACTTCTTGCAGAGTTTGATCCAGTTCTAAATACACTTTTAGTTTTTAAAGAAAACCCGAGAAAATACAATTTAGATTGAACTATTAGGATCAAATATTCAGAGCATAATATTCCAAAAAATAAGAGCAGTGTCATATTTTGATTCAACTGAATACAATACTAAAGTAGATTAAGTTAGTATTTAGGATTTTTTGCATTGTATAAACATTCAGCAGAGGATTATATAAAATCGATTCTAGAGACTTTTATTGGTTTATCAGAAACTGTGGTTACTTCCCAAATGTTCCTTTTCCAAATTAAAGCTAGTAAAAAATTAATCGAGGAATTCTACTAGTCAAGACGATTATCTAATATTATATACTAATATTGCAATACTCAACATCCAACAAAAAGACTTTATTGGTAATACTGATGAATGTTTAAGAAACATATGCTCTAGAGTGGCCAATAATGAAATAATATTTAACAAACTATTAGTTTTAAATTATATTACATTCTTATATCAATCATTTTTATATCATTAATAAGAAATTATTTTCAGTATTAACATTTACTTTCCATGTTGTAGGGGGGGAAAGGGTTGAATCTCGTGTCTATGGACCTGATTGATAGGTCAAATACAAAATGAATACCAATATATTTGTAAACAAATATAGGGACTAATCAATCATATCAAGGAACAAAATAAAATGTTGAGACAAGATGAAAATAGAAAACTATCAAATACAATTGAATATACAATAATCATATAAATAATATCAGTATTTTGTAATATGTGAATTATGATGATTTGATTAAATCAATAAAATAAAAGCAACAAAAAATGTATTGTTACATAAATATAATTTGATTCTCTTTTATACTAAAATATTAAACCTAAGTTTTGTTTCATAAAGATCAAAAAATTTTTGAAATTCAACAAACTTAATTGCTTTAACATATAGCTATTTGTACAACTTTTTGAGTGCACAGTTATTTATAGTTCCCTAATTCAATTTTACCCTGGTTTATTTGATTAATATTATGTTTTTGTTATTGAACTTGATTAAATGTAATATTATTTTTTTTAATAGGTTGGCCATGAACCGATGGCACCATATCGCTACAGAAGTATTTTTGGTGAAGAAAGATTGTTTCTGCCAAACTTAGTAGTTTATGGTAATCAATTTATATATTTAAATAAAAATAGATTTTATATAATATGTACAGTTAAACCTCTGAATAGTGGACTTTCTCGGTCACCAAAATTCCAGTTTTTCCTTAATTTGTTGTGGTTTTTCCTGAAGCTTTTAAAAATTACTGAGAATTTTCAATTTTTAATCTTGTTTCCACCAACTAGATATTATACTTTCCTACCTGAAATAAAAATATGCCAATGTATCTTTAATATTTTTAAATAGTTATAAATTATAATTACATCTTATAAGAAACCTAATATTAAAAATGTTTGTATTTACCAAATAAATAATTTTTTTATATCTTTTATACAAAGATATTAGACATTTAAAATACCTATAAATAGCTCAAAAAATAAAAAGTGTGGAAAATTGTATCAATATAAAGAAAATTATAAAATAAACATTTGGTCAAAATTTTAAATATCCACAGACTATGTTTATTCGTTTTTTGAGTTACACCATAAAAACCAGGGCTTTACACCCAAACGTAACCCAAAAATATAAATACAAATTCCTGTTTTTCCTTTATTTTATTCATTTTTCCTGATTATTTTGATAAGTATTGCAAACTTTTTATGTTTGTTCTCCCCTCTTCACCTACCTCTGGATCCAATTTGTTACTAGAGACCACATAACCTAACCTAACCAAAACTAATTATTTTTTTCAGCTAAATACATTTATTCAGTTGATGGATTTAAAGGAATGTATGTTGGATTAGCTCCTAAGATCATAGGGATTTGTATTGAACATTTTTCGTCATCACTAATGTCTGATTATATTCAAATTGATAAAAATCTAAATGTAGATAATACAGATTCAGATTTAGAAGTGTAAGTAACAGTATTATTTTTAGTATCAGTTATAAATTAATTTGAATACTTCTGGTGATAAAATAATAATTTGTAGCTCTAATATTGTCCTTGAATCCGGGCTGCATTTATCATAAACCTCCAAACACATTTAACCCGCTAATTTGTTACTTTTTTCTGTATGACTATAACTTATTACATTTATTAAATCAACTCAATGTAGATGGAAAAAATGTGCAATAAAAACATCAAAAGAAATGATATGTACAGCCACAAGTATCATATTGAGCCATCCCTTACACATTGTTTCTATGAGAATGATGGCCCAATTTGTGGGTTACGAACATCGTTACACGTGAGTTAATAAAAAAAAAATGTTTCTTACTCTTTAAATAATATTATTAATATATTTTTTAAATGACATATTATATATGTTTTTATTTTTTACTTCAGTTTAGTGTTACAATCAATTTCACTTATTACTCGTGAAGAGGGAGTAAATGGACTCTTCACTGCTATCATTCCACGTCTGTTAGCTGGTTTGGGAACTGTAATTCTTGTTAATGTAGCAAAACAAGCATTTTCACGTTATTTATTTGATCCTTCACCCATGACTTTGAATATTGCTGACTTTGCTGCTTCGGTAAATTGATCTTTATGCTTAAATTTTAGTTGAAAATTTTAATTGTAGTTGGAGGAGAAATATTCAAAGACATTAAAGTGTAACAGGGTGTCAGAGTTCCTTTTTATATTATGAAATGTATGAACTTAATTTCAATAATATTACAATACATAAGTGTAATTAAGGAAAATGTTGGGTAATTACTTATTCAACAACCATAACACATGTTTAAATCAGATGAATACATTCTCAACAGCTAAAAAAAAACGTGGAATTAGCTATGCTGTTTAGCAGGTTTTGAGTGTACCTCATCATTGAGTAGGTACTTTAATGTATGATAAATATAGATTGTACATTGTCAGCCTCTATTAATTCTAAGGATATTTTATATTTAAATATTTAATTTATATTAAGTATTCAAGTGATTTGTTTTTCTATTCATTGTACGGTATGTGGGACTATTATTTTTTTAATATTATTAATATATAATAAGATATTCCTAGCCCACATAGGCTATCTATATCTACATATATTTTACAGAATCATATTTTTTTAACAATTAAAACATGATCATAATTATATATAATAATAACAATATTAGTGATACCTACTTATTGTTGGTTAGACTTAATACATTTGTAGTATAAAGTGTAAGGTTAAGCTTATGATTAGATGTATAATTTATAAAAAATACTTAATAATAATTAACTAGGTAATTTTATCGTGTGGGCGACTGGGTTTGAGACTTCTTTGAGGTGATGGAGGTATGTGTATAATGAAGTGTAATATTACTCGGATTTACGGACTCGTCCTTTAACCCGGTATACGGGATTAAATCTGTCAATCCGGTTAAGATGTAGTCCGGATTAGGCATGCCAATGTCCAGCACTAATATAAAAACATTTTTTTTTAGATTCTGAGTGTAACGATGAATGTATTGATTTTACAATGATGTGTGTTTTTTTTTTATTTTTTTTTCATTTTTGTGTCTGTGTACACGATAAGTAGTCGAAATAATGCTTCAATTTTCAACTTCAGTATCTTGTTCGATGAAAAAGTGAATATTGTTGGTACATTGAGGTGCGTTTAAAATTGCCAATAGTTTTCAAAAGCGCTGGGAAAAACAAAAGAAAAATTAAGGAAAAACGAGAATTTGTACGCAAAATCTGTTTTCGAAAAAAATCAATTTTGGTTTTTGGTGCAACTCTTAAACAAATGACCTTAGGAACATGAAATTTCGACTGAATGTTTATGTAATCATTTTCTATACACCATAGCATTTTCCAAATATTTTGATTTATTTTGAGTTCTTTACGGACATGTTCAGTTTTAATTTTTTTTAGTTATTTTTTCTATAAATATCAATAAAATGTTATTTGTTGGTTAAAAAAGCTTGAAAATTTAATAGAAAGCTCCTAGTATATTGTTTCAAAGGCAGATGAAAAAAATTAAAAATCCATAGTAGCAATTTATTTTTATAAGCATTTAAAGTTCAAATATTGACAAAATACATAAAAATGACGAAAATTTGCAAATTTTTTCGAGTTAGAAATTCATAAAAAAAATTTTTTATAAACCTTTGAAAATGTAATACAAGATTCCTCATAAGTTAGTTTACCTTTATCAAAAAAAAAATAATTACAAGAAACTCAAATTAAAATTTTATGAGCTTTTGAAATTCATATTTTCACAACATTTGATATAAACTCCATTTCTCAGGTAACGATTTTCTTATTAGGTTGTAATTAAAAAACGAATGATTGTAGATACTTGAAAATTTCACTGAATGTTTATATTAGCATTTCCTATAAACCATGCAATTTTGCAAATATTTTGACTTTTTTGAGCTGTTTAGGTACATTTTCTGTTTTCAATTTTTTTAGTTTTTTTTCTATAATAATTATTGTCAATAAAATTTTATTTGATGAGTAAAAAAGTGTGAAAATTGTATGCAAAGCTCCTAGTATAATGTTACAATAGCAGTTGAAAAATATAAAAAATACATAAGCACAATTTTTTCAGCATTTAAAGTTCAAATTTTGACAAAATTTATCAAATTTAAAATTTAATAATAATTTTGTGTTAACTACAAAATGTTCAACTTTTATAACTAAGGATTGAAAATTTAAAACAAGATTCCACGTAAATAAGTTATATATAAATTACTTTATTCACCTTAATATCATCAAATATACTTCGTAATATCATAGGCTGACTGACCGTTTTCGCTCAGAATCATTTTTCTTATACAATGATATTAATATATTATATCATTGAATTCAAATTTAACACCATCCATTACAGTGACCCACTTGTAGCCTACTGTACAGCAGAGCAACTTTTTAGAAATTTTGTGTTAAAATTTCTACAAAATGCGGTATTTAAACAAAGATAAACAATTTATTTATTTTGTTTTATTTCAAAATTATTTTTTTGGACAATTTGAAACTTTTACATATTTTTCATACACAATGGTGACATTGAGATATGCAAAACATTTTGATTAATTTCTTATTTCTTATTTATACGGTAAACCTATTCACAGTATTTCACGTTGAGTCGGTATTGACCCAAAAGTTAATAACATCAGTAATAACAGTTATTTGTATGCATTATTTTATCAATTTAAGACATACATTCAGTGATTTCCTCAATTATGATTAAAGTGGTACATTTGACACCTATTGTACAGCAGAGTTGTTACATACTTTTTCCCTTATTTACTTTGAACATCAAAAATACCAACTAAATTCAATTTTCTACAAGAAACCACCCTTAAAGTTAAGGATTGTACTGCTCCAAAAATGGTGTAAAAATGGTATACACTGTAAAACCAAATAATTCATTGTTACGCTCAAAACCTAAAAAAATTGGTCGTAGTAAAAATATTTTTAATTTAAAATTTTGCTTAAAACAATAAAATTTGTTTACTTTTATTTCAGTACTTAGCTAATGCAGCTACTTATTCATTTAATGTTGTTACTGCTTGTACAGCAATTAACAACTGCGGGTATGTAGATATTTTATTTTATTTTTTTTATTTAGTATGAAAATATAAAAATATTTGTTTGAACAGGTTAGCTGCTGGCATGCCTCCAGATATGCCTGTATTTGGAAATTGGTTGGAATGTATGAAATATCTTTACAGATGTGATCAGTTGAACCGTGGATCATCAACTTGGTTCAGGCGTGTTCCACAAACTCAATCAAAACTTTTAAAATTGCTATGATTTAGGTGCCTAGTCATTCTATGTCGATTGTTATTTATATGTACAAAATAAGAATAAGTTAATATTTTAGTAAATATTTTTAGCAGAACTGGAAACATACATAGTATTGTATCATCATATTTTAAATTTCATTTTTATTATTATTAATAATTTAAACATTTATGTAGAGCAAAGAATTTTTTTTTTTAGTAAATATTTGACAAAACAGCCATTTGTTGTCTCCATCTTACAAGTGCGTAACATAGAAAATTTACTCTCAGCAGAGCATGTTAAGCTCCATTAATTTAAAAATTAGAGTGAATTGACCTATTATGAATCTTGATGTTAAGAACATTAACTGTGTTGGTATCTGGGTTTTTTTTATGATAGTTCAATAAATTGATGTGTATATAATATGGCGTACATTTAAAATGTTCATAACTCACTTAAAAACTAAGTTATTGTAACAAAATCCACATAAAAACACAGAAAATGTTCTTACCATCAAATTCCCAATGTTATTGTTTCTTATAATTAACCTTATACAATGAATTCTAAAAATAATAGTAGTTCTCCTCCAGATCGTAATCTTCCAGATACTTCAAAAAAAAAAAAAAAAATACAAGAACTAATATGGTTGCTCTCACTCCTCCTTATACAAGTAAAAATAGATTCGCTCCACTTCTAACCCTCCAAGTAAACGACAAAATGGACAGCACCTAAGATGAAGTCAGTACTCAACAATCACAGGTTATACCAAAAATTCCTCCTATTTACATATACATTTCTGATTTTGAAAACTTTCATACATCATAAGCCAATATAACTTTTGATGAATTCTCCATTGCGAACACAAAATCTGCTCTCAAATTAAACATGGATTCTATTGACGATTATAGAACCGCAACAAAACTTTTCGACGATTCCGGTACATATACCACACTTACTAATTCCCAGAAAACAAACAACTATCTGTTATCATTAGGAACCTCCCTGTAAGTATATTAGAAGCTTGTATATATTAATAACTGGCATAAATGCAGTTAAGCTGCCAAGAGATTTTTTGGAATTTTTTTTTTTTCAAAATATGTTTTTTTGCATGCCTAATTTGATGGTGCTTTCAAAAAACGCCGGTCGAACTTACTTTGGAAATTATGGTCAAAAAACTTCCAAATGCTCAATTTTTTCAAAAATAGTGTTTTTGAATTAAAATACAAAAAATTTAAGATTGACATTTTTTGTTTTTAGAAATGTTTATATTTATATTATGCTCGAAAATTTGGTGGAATCAGAATTTGCCTATCGTACTTACTTTTTATGTTATTGTTAATAAACCACATAAAACTGAATTATAAAGTTATTTCAAACATTTGCATATTTGAGAAACTCAAAATTAATTTTTTTTCATTCGATGAGTAATAACATAAAAAAGTTTTTGGTGATATTTTTTGGTTTGGAAGATATACATAGATTAAAATAATAAGCAACGAAAAATCAAAATGTACCTACAGTTTGGCATTGTAATTTATAATCGTTCTATTAATTTACCCATGCACCCCCCCCCCCCCCCATCGGATTTTTTTTTATTATTATTACTCTTGGCCTGGTGAATCTAGATCCTGTTATTGAATGCTTTCGTTTAGCCGGTAATTTATACGATCTAAATAAATACAACAACGATGGGATCAACGTTTCTGATGACGAAAATACTGATATAATATAATACACATTATCTAAATCTATACATTTTGATTTTTCATTGCTTATTATTTTCAACACGTTCAATGCCATTGTCAACGGGTTTTCGACATTGGTAACGTAGCCCGGGACGCCTTTGTCGACCGTACGTAATTTTGGCGAGGCGACGCTTGCTCTGCACCCATTCAAAACTTGAAAACTCGTGAATACAAGATTCCTCATAAGTTTGTCTACCTTTATCAAAAAAAAAATGTCCACAAGAAACTCAAATTAAATTTTAAATGAACGTATATACATGACATTTTCTATACCTACACGATAAAATTTTCAAAATATTTTGATTTGTTTTTATTATGAATGTCAATAAAACTTTATTTGTTGGGTAAAAAAGCGTGAAAATGTAATGCAATGCTCCTGATATATTGTTACAATTATTGTTAGCATTTGAAAAATATTAAAAATACAGAGGCACAATTTTTTTTTATAAACATTTAAAGTTCAAATTTTGACAAAATTTATCACATTTAAAATTTAATAATAATTTTGTAGTTAAAAATTTATAAAATTTTATAGCTGACTATTGAAAATTTAAAACAAGATTCCACGTAAATAGGTTATATATAAATTACTTTATTCACCTTAGTATCATCAAATATACTTGGTAAATCGTAATATAATAGGCTGACTAACCGTTTTCGCTCAGAATCGTTTTTCTTATATAATGACATTATATCATTGAATTCAAATTTAATACCATCCATTATACAGTGACCCACTAGTGGGTACAGAGGAGCACCTTTTTATTATTGACATTATTGTATATTAATGTATAATAAAAATATAATGCTTAACCAATACAGACAATTATTGTTAAATTTAGTATTATTTTTTATGGATATGGTCTGATAAGGAGATGAGTGGTATTGGGTATAAAAAACAGAAAGGGGCCCCCTCGTAGAAAAATGTCTGGTTACGTGCCTGAGCCGGGAACACGGGTATTTCACGTATTTAATTTATATATTTTTCAATCAAACAAATATTATAGGAATTATAATGAGAAAAATGAAAATATTATTATGATAATAAAATTAATTAATATATTTTATATATATTATATTTATTAAATGGTAAACAAATTGAACGTCTTAAAAATCGATCAAATTCACGTAATACCCGCATGTGTTGTCTCCGTCTTACAAGTGCGTAACATATCTAATTTTACTCTCGGCAAAACACGTGTAGTTCTGTTAATGTAAAAATTAGAGAAAATTAACCTTTTATAAAATCTAAAGTTTAGGTTATTATCTTATTTAAAGCGAGCTATGAGTATTTTAAAATTGTAAATTGTTTGTACATTTTAAAATAGGTACTCATAACTCGCTTAAAAATTAAAATATTATAAAAAGCTCATTCGGTTCTCTAGATAATAATTTTACCTTTAGATTTTATGAGAGGTCAGTTTACTCTAATTTTCAAGCTAACACGTATTCTGCTTTGCGTATAATTTGCTATGTTACGCACTTGTAAGACGGAGACAACACATGCGGCGGGTACCACGTCCTCTTGAAAATATAAACGTCGTCCACGTTCACGTTCTATTTACAAAAAACGAGTGACTTTCACGTATTGTTCACTATATGTCTATATCATATAAACGTGAACGTGTGAAGTGCGTTCATGAACGACGTTCTTTCCAAACACTGATTCATTTGCATATACAGATACAGATAAAAAGATAAATTAATAATTATTATACTGATTTGGGTATGACGGCTCTGATTTAAATGAGGTACATACAACCTCATGATATTTTTGTATTACCATTCAGGCACAAATGACAAATCTTTAATTTTAATCATATTAGGTATAAGGTGCATCAGCCTGGCACCCCGAAATTGAAATTTCGTACTTTTTTTTTTTTAAATAATTAGTAACCAATTTGTAACAATTTGTAACGCAAGATTTGGAATTTGTAACACAAAATTTCACCCTTAAATCGACGTTCCAGTGTTAGGGGTGCTAAACTGACGTCAGCCCAGCGCCCGAAATTGAAATTTCACACTTTTTTTTGTTTATAGAAAATTAGTAAACAATTTGTAACAATTTGTAACGCAAGATTTGGAATTTGTAACACAAAATTTCACCCTTAAATCGACGTTCCAGTGTTAGGGGTGCTGAGCTGACGTCAGCCCAGCGCCCGAAATTGAAATTTCACACTTTTTTTTGTTTAGAAAATTAGTAAACAATTTGTAACAATTTGTAACGCAAGATTTGGAATTTGTAACACAAAATTTCACCCTTAAATCGACGTTCCAGTGTTAGGGGTGCTAAGCTGACGTCAGCCCAGCGCCCGAAATTGAAATTTCACACTTTTTTTTGTTTAGAAAATTAGTAAACAATTTGTAACAATTTGTAACGCAAGATTTGGAATTTGTAACACAAAATTTCACCCTTAAATCGACGTTCCAGTGTTAGGGGTGCTGAGCTGACGTCGTTAAAAGTCAAATTTCACACTTTCTTTTGTTTAGAAAATTAGTAAACAATTTGTAATAATTTGAAACGCAAGATTTGGAATTTGTAAAATAAATTGCATCCCTTGAATTGACGGTCCATTGTTAGGGGTGTTGGGTTGACTCCGAAAGTTAAATTTCATACTTTTACACTGAAGATTTATTCTATGGTATTGTTTTGCGAAAAGTGGAATTTCCTACCTAAAAGTAAAATTATGTAATTATTTCTTGATTATTTTTTAATTTGTGTTGTATATTACTATTTTTATAAAAATAGAGATAACCTATGTTACTTTTGATTTTTGAACAAGTTTTAAATGTTTAATAATTAAATAATATACTATTTATTGCAAGGTAAGTATTTTAATTTATTATTTGTAGTATTATTTATATAATTCTAAACTATCATGATTATAGGAACCTACTGGGTATTTAATATTTATTATGTTTTATTGACAAAAGCTTATCATTTTAATTTTTAATGCCTATTAATTTAAATACCTAGGTATGTGAATGTGAGTAATGAGGTAACTATGATTTCAAATAATTATATTTTGTTAATCAAGCCATGTTATTACGAACTTGAGGTTAAATAATTAATATGTCCTTGTTTTACCAAGATACTACCACGATTTAAGGTTTAATATTTTATGTATTTATAAAATATGGTGTATTTATTAGGTGTACACATTCTCATTCGTCATCAAATGATAGAATGAATGAAAATATTACACAAACTACCTTAGTATTAAAAACACTTTTTTTAAGTTGTATGTCCTGCCGATCCCGTCCACTTCGTTGTCCGTTAAATCT